CAGCAGCAGCAGCTAGTTGTAGCATGTGGTAACAGCAGCAGCTAGCTATGGCATGGACCACGGTTCTCCTCCTGTGTTGGAGATGACTCTCAGCTACTACCACATCAAGTTATCTGTAAAACTGTTGGACATCATTTAGCCGTGGCGGCCATCTTGAATTTGGTTGAATAGTTTTGCCTGAATGTGTGCATCAGAACTGGAGATATTTTGCTAACAGGACATTGCAGCCACTGGACAGAGTGTTGAGATGATGCTCGGCTACGACCACACAATCGTTTAGTTCCATGTTAGAGCAGGTCAGAACAGTTGTTCTGTTTGCTAACGTCAGTTAGCTGTGGCGGCCATCTTGAATCAGATCCAGTGAGTGCTTCCTGAAGGTTTCGTTAAAATCCATCCAGTGGTTCGTGGGATATTTTGTTAACAGAGACGCGGCTGATCCTCCTGGGCTCAGAGTTCTTGTTGGGATGACTCAGCTACTACCACGTCGAGTTTTACAGTTGGAAGGCTAAGGTCTGTTAACTGTGGCGGCCATCTTTAATCGGGTTGAGGCCAGTTGTAGCTGTTGGTCCAATAAAACTGCAGTGGTGCACGAGTTATTTTGCTAACAGACAAACTCAACGATGTCGTCTCCCGCAGGTCATCGACATCTCCATGATTTTGGCCGAGGCCATCAGGAGAACCCACAACGGCGAATCGGTGTCGTACCTCTTCAGCCACGTTCCCCTGTGAAGAAGAGGCTCCGCCCACTTCTCCCACGAGCGGCGGGGCTCAGAAACACGTGTTTTTGTTTTTTTAAAGAACACACACGCCGTCAGGGACTTGATGGCCCAGCAGATACAGCCAAACAACTTCTCTGAAGTTTCTATTTATGACTACTTTCCTGTTTGTTTGTTTTTGTTTACTTTGTGTCTCTGCAGCGCCGAGGCGTCGGCCGAAGGGTCCATGCTGTCACCTCATGTCGCCTTTTTGTTTGAAACGATGCATTCCTCCCTGACCGTGACAACAGAAGGTTTACGGCCTTTTCTCCTGCGTCACCAGGTTTAGCCTCTAACAGCAGCCGATGCCTCGGCAGCATGCGGAAGAACCTTACGCAGCAGTGGCGTCAACGTTGTCACAGGAAGTCTCACTGATGATTTAATGAGCCGCTACGGACGTTCTGCTGTCGTTCCAACTTCCTGTCACCTCCGTAAAGATGGACAACATTTTTATAGAGTTCACATTCTGAGCCTGGTTCTGTCGCAGCTGGACCGGGTCTCCTCTGTTCAATGAAGGCGCCGTTTAGTGATGAAATCAGAAACGTGATAAGTTTTATTTTTTTTATGTGTAAAACTAAAGCTTTCTTTTAATAATAAAGCTTTGAAAATGGGTCTCTGGTGTGTTTTTTCATCACTGTGTTAGCAAAATATCTTGTGAACCAGTGGACCCTAACGAGTCTCAGAGAGGAGTTAGCCGCAGCTAACGGTGTTAGCCACACAAAGCTGAAACAGCAGCTTCCAGATTAGATTAAGATTTTAATCCAACCCTGAACGATTGCAGCTGGAAGAGGCTCGCAAACAAAAACTGAAGTTTCTGCTGTAATTAATATTATTATTATTATTATTATTACACGACTGAAGCTTTAATATCTGACCTCATCCAAAGCACGTGACGGTTCAAGCATGGCCACAAGGTGGCGCCCAGTGTACACGAGCGATGACTGGAAGAGTTGTGACGTCAGGAGGCAGCGCGCTCGTGCAGGATCACGGGAAGCTTCAGATTTATAAAACTTAATAAGTGACGTGTTCAAAGTGTCGGTCATGAATTAAAGGACCTCAGAAGTCCCGCGTGGACAGGATGTGGGTTTTAGTTTTGGGTGCAGTTCCTCGCCGCGCCGGCAGAGGGCGGAGCTGTCCGGAGGGTTGGGCTCTGAGTGACGTCACGCCTCATTAGCATATTTCTGACTATAAGAGGCGCATGCGCAAAGGCGAAGCAGTTCTGCTGCAAACTGCCGCCGAGTCGTTTCATCGCCCAGAAGGAGTTCGGTAAGAGCTTTTTAATCTTCTTTCTCCACCTCCTTCCGCCTCCTCCGCCGCTCCTGCCCCGAGGTTAACGGCGGGGATTAGTGCTGCTTTGTGAGCGTAGAAGAAGAGCGTGGATTAAAACGTGCGGATTCGAGCTGGAAACGTAGAAGAAGAAATCCGCCTCTGTTCGTGTCGCATTGTTTTTAAAACGCTTTGATCTTTTCTGAGGGCGGGAAACCAGATCTGTGTTTGGGCTCTTTGTCTCGCGCGCTCGCATTCCGCTCCCCTTTGTTCGTGCACGCGCTCAGTTCCGTTATAAGGGAACACGCCCTGCGGGGGTTAGTGACGCAGAAACGCACAGTAAGTGTCCAACCTGCAGCTGCGGGCGGTGGAGGACTTTCATCTCTTTGTTTATTTCTGCTGTTTAAACCCAGACAAGCTCCCCCCCCCCCCCCCCTCCTGTATCTGTGTGGTCTTCAGGTTCTGTCCTCCAGCAGGTCTGGTACAGATGGACAACTGGAGGACATTCTGAGGAGGGGTAGTATGTTGGGAGCCGACGCCCTTCCTCCTCCTCCCCCCCCCCCCCGTAATATGGGGCCCTGACGTTGGTTTTTCCTCCCTCTTCCCCCCCCCCCCCCACAGACTGAACCGCAGCCATGAGCGACAAGCCCGACATCTCTGAGGTGACCAGCTTCGACAAGTCCAAGCTGAAGAAGACGGAGACGCAGGAGAAGAACCCGCTGCCCACCAAAGAGGGTAAGTCCTCACGGTGCCCCCCCCCACCGGTGACGGCGCCCGGATCTGACGGTGTCTCTTTGTGTCTTGCAGTCATCGAGCAGGAGAAGCAGGCGTCCTGAAGTCTCTCCTCCATCATGCACTGCACCCCCCCACCCCACCCCCCCATGCACCGCCTTGTTTTCAGTCACCTCTTCGCCCTATGACCCCGTAACCCAAACGATGACATCACGACCGTAACCGAGCCGCACCACCTGCGGACGGACGTCTGCCGCCTCCCACTCGGAGGGGGAGGGGTGGGGGTACGAGCGGCAGCAGGTCGGGCGGGGGGGGGGCTCCAAACACGGTGCGGCCGCTTCATTCGTCCTGCGCCCGAGCCGAGGCGTCCAGCTTCTTCAGTTCCAGACACATTTTGTCGCACGCCGGCCGAAGTTCGCCCACAAACGTAAACCTTTAAATTTTGTGTTAGAGCTGACCCGGTTCCATCCAGACCTGGGGGGTTCAACCGGACCTGCCTTGACCCTCTGGAGTCTGAGGGCAGCTTCATGTCGTCTCATGAGAGGTTCTGGTAATTTGCTGACTTTTTTTTTTTTTCTTGTTGCTTTGAACTCGAACAACTTCTGGAGTTTTGTAAATTCCCACAGTCGTGTAATCTGCCACAAACATTACTGATGTTGTAATAAAGATTTGTTACGAAGTCACGAGTTGTTATTGGTTCAGAGACGAGTACCACTGATCCACAAAGTAGACGGGGCCGAGCACTGATCCACAAAGTAGACGGGGCCGAGCACTGATCCACAAAGTAGACGGGCCCGAGCACTGATCCACAAAGTAGACTGGGCCCGAACACAAATGACTCGAGCTGATCTGGTGCAGAATAAAGGATTTGTTTAGCTGTTATCCTGAGCTGACCCGGCACACGAGCTGAAGTTTGTCCTTCGGCCTTTTGTCACAAATTAACCGCCGGCTGCTCGCCTTAATGTCATGAACGGGACGTGGTTATTTCCTGGATGTGGAGGTTTAGATCGATGACAGGAGTTTCTCCTGATCCGATGAGTCACGTCTTTAATCTGCAGGACTGACTGCACGTGCTGCTCTTCCGTGGGGGGGTGGACCTGGTCCACAGACCCCCACGTGTTCCCGGCTCGATCAGCTGCTGCTAACGAGGCGTTAATCTGCAGGTTAGTCCTGCGGGGATGGGATTAACGGCTTTCAGGGAAAGTGGAGGATTTGGAGCAGCTGATCGGGTGGAGTCAGATGTGTCAGCATCCCCGTCCTGGTCCCAGTGGGTGTCTGGTAACCATGGCAACAGCTGCTGCTGAGTCACCTCCTGGAGTTGGGCGGAGGGACGCTCTGAGACGGCTGGACATTCAGCACTTCCTGTTTGCAGACTCCATCTGTCTCCTGCAGCGTCTCCACTGAAGACATGTCTTTGTCCCCGTGGGTCTTGGGTCTCAGAGTCCTTCATTACTCTGACCGATGTGTCACTTTATTCCATGACGTTATTGTAAATGAGATTAATAATTCTGCTTCCACGTTCATTACCTGTCCCTCGTTGTCAGCCAACATGGCTGACGGGTCCAAACAGACTGCATGCTGGACAGGAAGTGCACGTTCTGACTTCCTGTCCAGAGTCTCTTGATTCTACCTCTTGTCTTCAACAAAGAACAAAAATGGCTGCAACATGTGTTCATCCTTCCTCTGCTGGGGGGGAATGCAATGACCGTCGGCTTGTAGTCTAATCTAATCTGGCTCCAGAAGCAGCCGAAGATTTTTGCATCGTCGTGTGGATGAAACCTGAGCTGCTTTGGATTAGCTGAAGGAAAACACGACTGCGTGGTTGCTTTATTTTCTGGTCCTTTACAGACGATAAGTCAGGGGGGGTCCAGTCCTGGTCCTGGGGGGCCACTATCCTGCGTGTTGTAGACCAGGGGGGTCCAGTCCTGGTCCTGGGGGGCCACTATCCTGCATGTTGTAGATGTCTCTCTGCTCCAACACACCTGATGTGAATCAATTATTGATTGATGGACTTCTGCAGAGTTGATTTAGCCATCGAACTAGACGTGTTGGAGCAGGGAAACAAGAAAACATGCAGGATAGTGGCCCTCCAGGACCAGGACTGGACACCCCTGGTCTTACACATGCAGGATAGTGGCCCTCCAGGACCAGGACTGGACACCCCTGGTCTTACACATGCAGGATAGTGGCCCTCCAGGACCAGGACTGGACACCCCTGGTCTGGGACAAACAGCACTCTGAAGCTGATCCCACAGGTGTTCATTTGGATGTAGCCTCTGATAAACCCGTTCCGCGGGGGCGAAGTTGCCTTCTTGGAGGACGGTCCCAGACTGTGGAGATCAAACATGACCTCTGGTTGCTCACAGGTGCTGACAATCAGGCGCCTGACTGTCATCACCTGAGGAACAAGAAGCTCAAGACAGGAGTCGAGAGCAGAAAAGGCTGCTCAGGTAAGTTTTTCATGGACACAGTCCACAAACTCGGCTCTGCTGCTCAACCAACACAACCGTTGCGCTGTTCATGGGAAAGTAAATGTTTTCCAACCGCATGAGATTTGTTGCCAACAAACTTTGCCACAACGAAAAATTGACCAGTTTTCAATAATTGTTGTACTACGTTCAGTTGGAGACACAAAAACATACAGAAGTGACCTTCAATCACTGGTTTGGTCACTTGTGTCTTGGACGTCACGCAAAATCTGTCCCTGAATTTGCCGGGAGGACACACGACTATAGCGCCGCTGTTGCCCGACGATCCCACACGTAGAGCTGCCACTCGACTGTCAGGAGGACGTCATGCAAAGTACAAAGCCCGGTGACATCAGAATAATGTACCGGGATACAGTGAGATTATGTTTGTACAGTCGTCCAAAAGATGGGCGGAGTGCACGTTGCTGCTGCTACAAGAGCGCGGCCTCTTATTCTTTATCAGAATACTTTTAGAAAGAAAAAGGTAAGAGCTACGAGGATGGCTCGTGGTATTACATCCTATCAGATCGAAAAAGTACCGGCAGCGCATTTATACACACATTGCACGTGCGATGAGAAGACGTTGATTTGTCCATGAGCACGTTCAGATAATCCATAGTCCTGATAAGATGTTGTTCAGTCGGCAGTTCAGATAAGCCTGAGCAGAAGTTCTCGGGAGGGAGGGGAGGGGTTGCGATCCCGTGTCCCAGGAGAAATTTGATAGTCGGCTCGTATCCGAGGCCAAACGGGGGAGTCGGATTCAGATAAGCCGCAATTGTTGATTTTCTTCAGGCAGCTTTGAGTCCTGCTGGTACTGTCCAGATCCAAAATGGTCAAATTGATGGGTATTCCACTCTGATCCGTGCTACGAGTCTTCCTGAAGGTCCATCCCAACGTGCTGGCGAGTCCTAGAAGCCGCAGGCGGCCTGCGATTCTCACAAGTCGCCTCCATCTTACGGTTTAGCTCGTAACTCCGCTATTAGCTTTGTCCACACAGAGGTGCACAGGAAGAGAAAACAGACAAACACTAAAGTCTTTTTGGCGCGCCTCTCTTTAGGAGACAAACGTGAACGAAAACAGTTCTGCTTCATAAAATTTTAAACCGAAGAGTCCATCGCCGACGGACTCCGAGGCCCGTTCCGCCGCTGAACGAGCGTTAATTACCCGGGTTATCCCAGGAGAGAGGTGCTTAGTTACTCCCCGTTGGTAATAACGAGCTTTACCGTGTCCTCGTTCAGGCTGTTTTAATCAGCAGGAGAGCGCCGTGCACTCGAGTGGAGCAGGTCAAATCAAACGCACAAAGACGGAGCCCGGCCTTTTCTTTGAATGAAGCGCGCAGATGTGTTCGTAAGGAGACGCGGTGTTGTTGTGTTGACGGTAAATCTGCGCTCTGAAATGCTCCGTCCAGGCTCCACATGGGCGGACGGGCCTCAGCTTGCAGCACGTTGCAGGACCAGACTGATTTATTTTTATGATTATCTCCGCCGTCTTCTCGGTACTTTGGCGCTGTTCGTGCAGGTAGAAAGCCCGGGCACGCCTCCTCAGCCCACAGTGCACCAACGCTGATTGATATCTGGGGTATGGAACGGCGCCTTCAGCTCCTGGTTCGAGCTGCAGAACGTTTCCCTCGTGCTGCTGCTTAAACATTAATGAACGGCGGTGCCAGTCCTCGTCTGCTATCAGGGTGAAGTCTTACTGATAGCGTAATGCCTGTTTGTGTCTCGTGGCCTGAAGGAACCAACAGTTTTTACTGTCAGCTCGTTGTTTGCAGGCCCTGGTTCTACGTCGCTCCTCGTCTTTGTTTTGTCTTCGTCACTCCTCCTCCTCGTGGTGTTGCGTTAAAGCAGTTTGGAACAAGCTGCCGCCTCGAGGCAGCGTTGCTCAACGTCTCTGAAATGCACGGCATGATTTAATGAGTCACGTTAAATGGCGCAAGACAGATTTGTGAAATGTTTGAACCGAAGAGTTGTTGGTCACTCGTCAACCGGAGCATCGGGTCAGGTTTTATTTAGTTTGCAGCGATAACGCCTGTTTTCATTGCCGAGAGTCGAGGTTGGCCAGACGCACGCAGCAACGTGGGACAACAGGGACGCTGCCAGTCAACCTGAGTGCACAAGCTTCAAAAAGCTTAAAACATTAAAATCTGTTTAAACACAACAATCAGGCTCAGTCATGAACATAACAGTTTGTTGTGAATATTTCCACTTCCTGCTGACTTGAATACTCAGAAGAGCTATAAATGTTAGAAATAGTTCCCAAGAGAAGAACAAATTGTTTCTGCTTGTACAGCGGCTGGAACACAGTAACAGGAAATAACGTTTTATTTGCAAAACATAAGAAACAACAGAAAAAAACAACAGGACAACATGAGCCGAAAGCTAACTTTTTTCTGTTTTGATGCTTTTTTATGCTAATACCTAAGAAACTGTATTTTACTAGAAAGTGATATCAAAATATAGTGTGAGTAAAGATGAATGCTTCTGGAGAAGTGAGTCCGATCGTTGGCCGAACCTCAGATCCAGGAGGAACAATGTGGGTTCTGTCCTGGCCGTGAAACACTGGACCAGCTCTTTAGGGTCCTCGAGGGGTCATGAGAGTTTGTCCATCCAGTCTACATGTGTTTTGTGGACTTGGAGAAGACATTTGACCGTGTTTCTTGAGGTACACTGTGGGGGGTACTCCATGAGTATGGGATTGGGGTCCTGTTGTTACAGGCTGTTCAGTCTCTAAACAAGCAGAACGAGAGTTTGGTTCTCATCGCTGGTAGTAAGTCGGACCCTTCAGGGTGGGAGTTGGACAGGACTGCCCGTTGTCACAGATTCTGTTCACAACTTTTATGGACAGAATTTCTCGGTGCAGCCAAGGGGTGGAGGGAGTCCGGTTCGGTAGTCTCAGGATCCATCTGCTCTTTGCAGATGATGTGGTCCTGTTGGCGTCATCGTGTCGTGATCTTCAGCTCTCACTGGAACGATTCACAGCCGAGTGTGAAGCAGCTGAGATGAGAACCAGCACCTCCAGATCTGAGGTCATGGTCCTCAGCTGGAAAAGGGTGGATTGTTCTCTGAAATTCTGCCTCAAGTGGAGGAGTTCAAGTGTCTCAGGGTTTTGTTTAAGAGTGATGGAAGAATGGAGCGTGAGATTGACAGACGGATTGATGCAGCATCTGCAGTATTGTGGACTCTGTTCTGGTCTGTTGTGGAGAAATGGAAGCTGAG